CTCAAGAATGAGTCTGTCCTTGACGACAGAGAGGACATACATTGTAAGGATGACATGGATGAACACATGGAAGACCTAGCTGAGCATTCTCAGTGCAACACTTGCCACGACGGGTGGCATTGAGCATGCCCGCCATACACCGTGTCCGGATGCGGAGGGTGCCTGCACTCAGGAACGGTGGGACAGTCCTCTGCACACATGGATGCAGAAACCATGTCATTGTAGTGATTGTGACAGAGACGATGGCGGCTACAGCCGAGTGTAACAGTGCTTGTGGTTGTGCAAAGGAGAAGGTCGCAGAGTGTTGGTGCATTGTCTTGCTGCAGCACGGGGCCAGAGGAATGATCTTCGACATAAAAGAGATTGCGGACGGTTTGTTGTGGCAAGAAAACAACATCATTTTGTAAGAAATCAGTGACATCAATCATGGCATGGACCATGGTGCCGTTGTCCCACAGCTCCCAGTGGTCAGAGGCATGTACAATGGCCATGTAATGGCCAGGGCCATGCACAATGCAGGCAGAGATGTGGGATGGAGGATTAAACCACTCACCTGCTCGAGCATTGCGTAGTTCAAGTTGACGGTCCCTCATGGCTACTCGTAGGACAGCAATGGTAAAGCCTCCTTCGCTGGTATAATTGCGATCCTCTGCCTGTCGTTGCGGAAGATCAGCATCAAGCTGAAGGGCGATTGCAAGGAAGTCTGATGGTGTATAAAACGGGCGATGGAGAATGTGAAGACAAATGTTAGTTGTTGTCAAACCACAGAGATTGGTGAGGTTCTCAGGCTGGTTTGTTGGATGCTGGCCAACAATTTGCAGATCACCCAGATGGTGTTGCAAGCCCAAACTGTGTTGGGTTGTTTGCTGGTCAGGCATTTGCAGATCGCCCATGTGGTCTGCGTGTGGCGGAGCACAAAGTTGTGTTTCATCCGCACAATGCTGGTCAGCCATTTGCAGATCCCCCATGTGGTCTACGCCTTGTGGGGTCAACTGCGATCCAGGCAGATCATTTTCCAATCCCTCAATGTTTAGGGCTGCATCCTGAGTAGGGACTATACCTGGAGCCGGGAGTGTACTCTGGGCAGCAGCTGCATCTTGAGTAGGGACTGGTGGCTGCTTGCAGGCAGATGGACTGTCGGCAGGAGTCAAAGGAACCGCAACAACCTGTGGAGGAGGCACAGAGAGAATCGGGGCAGACAAAGAAACAGGTTGCTGATCCCCGGACAAGTGACAATGCCGCGGGTGTCGTCGGTGATACACAACAAGAGGAGTAGTGGTGTTGCAACTAGAAGCTGAACTCGTACCTAGCAACGCAGGTGGAACAATGGGGACAATGGAAACTGGAGAGTTTGTTCGCAAGCGAGACCGTGGAGGAGATGGGGGTGGTGAGGAGGAACGCAGTCGTTTACGGATAAGTATAGAGAAAGATGAGAGGGGGGTGCATTGGGCAAGATTTTGGAGCAAAGGACGTGAGCGTTGGAGAGATTGTGATGTTCTTTGCATTCAAGCTGCAGGACAGGATGTTGTAGCAGTAAAAACTAAAGTAGGGGGAATTACAGTTAGGGAAACTGCTGTACTGAAAGCTCCAGCAGTGAAAATCGCAACTGTAGAAACTGCAGCAGCGGAAATTGAAGCAGTGGAAACTGGAGCAATGGAGACTGCAGCACTGGACACTGCAGCAGTGGAAAGCGCAATAGTGGACACTGCAGCAGTGGAAACCGGAGTAGTGGAAACTGCAGTAGTGGACACTGCAGCAGTGGAAACCGCAACAGTGGACACTACAGTAGTGAAAACTGCAGGAGTGGAGACTCCAACAGTGGAAACTGCAGGAGTCGAGACTGCAGCAGTGGAAACTGCGGTAGCAGCAGATGAGTAAGCAGGGGCAGGACGAGAGCATCGTGGGGCCGAAGAAGAAATTGGATGATACAAGGACCATTGCAACATGCGTCAGAACCACTGAGAGCGACGCGTCACATGTGTAGGATACCGACGTTGGCGGGAGCACATGTAGCATACCTTGCGTGACCCTATCATGTCGTAGGGGTTCACGACAGTATGGTTGGCGCACTCGACCAGAGCGCCATCGCTCTGTGAAGAAGTCCTGAAAAACTTGCGTGACATGGTCGGGAGGGTCCCCTTTGTGGGACCGATGCGACAGGTGGCGCCGTTGACGGGGATCTCGGCTGCCTATCGGGATCCTTAGAGAACAAACCTAGGTTAAAAGCAGGCAGAAGATCCTGGCAAAACGACAATTTTTGCTTTATAAATGAGTGATAAAAGGAGTATTGATAATAGTAGTAAAATTGCATTATTAAGTAAACGGTGTGCAGGTGGGGACGCTTGTGTACTTTGACGCTTGGTAGTGGTAACTCCAGTTAGAAATTTGCGGATCCAGGTACCATAGAGTAATTCGGACAGTGCTATATGTATTTAATGTCTTAGACTAAATACCACTTACATTGATACGACTTTATGCGTTCGGTTACCGAGCAAGGATCTTTGGTGCCTGTACAGAACCGCTAAGCTACCTAAGTTGTCGCGATGATGTCATGACACACATGCGTTCGTATAAGTGTGAAGATCCCTTCCTATAAGAGTGGAGATATCCCTATAAAGGGATTAATGGTGATTTTGAACAAACGTTAGTTGTAAAAGAAAGTGGTAGAAAGAGTTTAGCTAGGATAGATATGTATGAAGGGTTGGTAATGTGTTTTGTTTTGGGATGTATTTTCAGGGAAGCACCAAAACAAGTGAAAATGGTGCGATCCCAACTACCAGAGGTTGGCATCTTTCATTTTAAAGGGGAAAAGGTATCGGAATGGCTGGAACTGATGGAGCAGATCTTGGTAGAGGCTAAAGAGGCGGATAATTTTTTCCGAATGCTGAAGTACGTCTCGTGGGAAATGCAGCCAGAAGTAACTAAGGTCGCAGTAGATGCCGCAGGAAGTTGGGAAGGATTTAAAGATGAAATGGGAAGGCGTTTCAAATTACGTGATGGTCTGCTCATAGCGGCCGACTTAGAGTCCCTAAGCACAAATGATTTTACTATGGTCGGGGTTTTTGCCACTGCATTTGAGAAAATAGCAAGAAAAGTACCAAGTATGGCAAAGGAAGAACAATGCGCCATATTCCTGGGAAACTTTTCACAGTCTGAGGCAGCAACCCTGACGGAAAAAGAGGCAGTAGGGAAGAAGCTTATGTGGGCAACTATCAAAAGGAGTGGACTGATGGAGTACTGGATCAAGTCTACCTCTTCCAGATGAGGCAGCAGGGGCATAAGAGAAATGCCAAGGAGGCCATAGCAAGTGGTGGGCCTGATGTCAGAAAAATAGTAGAGGAAGTGGTAGCCCAGTTGGAAGCTACGAAAGAGGCTAATGCTCCAAAGAAAGTCATGGTTGTATCGCAAGCGCGTAAGAAAGGGAAGCAAGCGGTGAGAGAAGAGGTGGTAGAAGAGGAAGAGGAAGAAGAGGAAGAGGAGCCTGAGCTGCAGAAGCTGACAAAGGCACAGCGAAAAGCGAAGAATTAGGCTCAGGGAGGTCAGGGATCAGGAAAAGGACAGTACCCGCAGGCTTCAACAATGCCACCGCCCGAGACTGGAGGACAAATGGGTATGCCTCGACCAAGGATATTGGCCGCAATATGGACCTCCTGAGCCGTGGCCTGGGTACAACCCACATATGCCATGGCCAATTAGTGGATCATATGGGCCATATTCTGGACCGCCAACGAGTATGGCATCATGCAAATACTCAGGGGCACAAGCCCAACAGACAGTCCAGCCACAACAGACCTCGCAACAAGGGTCCCAAGCCAACCAATCTGGTGGACGTGGACAACGTCAAAATTGGGGAAGGGGCCAAGGAAAGGGCGGGCGTGGAAATGGAGGGCGGGGAGGAAATGGACAAGGAAATGCGGGCGGGAGTAATGATGGAGAAGGAGATGGGAATTGGAATACCTCCGGAAGTCAAGGAGGTCAGGAAGGCTGACAGGGATATGGCAGAGGAAGAATGGACTGGAGGAACGCGACTTGCCGACATTGCGATCAGAAGGGGCACACGGTCAGGTTTCGCCATGTCCGGAAGAACAATGAAAAAGAAGGGTTGATAAGTAAAAACGTCGAAGGGGATGTTTATGATAAGTTTGGATACCATATTGACCCAACTATCGCAGGAGGGACGAGGAGGAAGCTTTGAAAAGGGTGAATGCGCCAAACGCACTGGCACCTCCACCAACGTTTCGTATTTGGCAGGTAAGGGTGGCAACCCCTGATGTAATTGTGGAAGAAGTAGAAAAGGGAGAAGAGGTGGACCAGAGATTGGAAGGAGGTACCATAGTGGAGGAGCCGATAACAGTCGACTCAGATGAGGAGAATGAAGAAAGTAACCAATAGCCAGCAATGAAAACTCTGGAAAGAATGGAAGATTTGGTATGAAAGATGAGAAGGTATCAGGAGAAGTTGAGAAAGATATGTCGGGAAGTGAATGAGTGGAGGGAAAAGACTCCAATGGTGTTTCTCTATGGGTCTAGAAGGATTGGAGAAGCAAGTAGATGCACCCGGAGTTTACGTTTTGGGATAAGGGCCGCTAACAGGAATGGCATCCAGGCCTCCTTCTAGACAAGTGAGAGTGCCTCACCCAGTATAGACAAGGAGTAAAGGGCATGCGAGTTCTAGCCAACACAAACCTGAAGAGCTTGAGCCTAGCAAAGAAAAGGAAACCCTGAAAATTCCTGATGATGGTGATGAGGATGATGACGAGGAGCATGAGAGGATGAGAGAGGAGGATGATAGGCGAGCGGAACAGAGGGCGCAAAGGAAAGGATTCAGGATCAATGAGAATCCTACTTGGAGAGATTCAGTGCAAAAGAAAAGGAAATATACGATAAGAATGGAGGAAGGCTTTGATGTGGAAAGGATGGTGGATAAGCTTCTTGAGGCGCACAATAAGCTACTGAAAGATATCCTTGGATCAGCCCCAAAGTTGCGCAATGAGTTAAAGACTCGCCTATCTGCGACAGACACAAAGACGGATTGGAAGTCCACTGTTACAAGGAGCGTGGGCATGATAATAATAGGAAGGCCCTGTAATGCTATGACTGATACAGGGGCGGAGATGAACCTTATCAAGGAAGAACATGCAATACGATTAGGCATGGAGATAGACCGCACGGATAGTGGGATCCTAATGAGAGTTAAAAGTAAGGCGGTCTTTATAGGGACGACCTCGAATGTGGTTGTACAAATTGGAAAGGTAAAAATCATAAGTTGTTTCTGTATAATACCTGATCTACATCATCACATAATCCTTGGCTGTTTCTTTATAATGCCTGATCTACATCATCACATTCTTAATAAGCATGGATGACACCACGTTCCTCATTCTCTGTGATCTCGTATGTGGAAATTATGAAGTCGTAGTTTGTAAGAATACGGGATAACGCAGTGCGAGGAATAGGCATACTCCCGGTTCGTTCACTATTGAGGAGTCGAAAGAGGAAAGGAGAAGGATAAAGTGGAAAGAGGCTGGAGAGGAGGAGCCACCAGAGACCTTGTCCATCAGTCTCGCCAATATCAGCGAAGCAATGGAGATGGTATCCACATTTGGAATGGCGGGCACCGAGACAATCACGGCGTTGAGGGAGAAGGTCATGGAGAATCTGATGGAAGGAGGGGTGGAGCTGGTATACCGACTGTAGAGACGAATGGGAGAGCAAGTCGCGCCTCTGGCCCAAACTACAAGGTGGCCTTTTTTAGGGGTGGTCTCAAGCAGGGCTCGCAAAGGCGATACAAAAGAGTAGGCCAGAAGTGCCACCCGGTTCCCGTTATAGTAACCGAAGAGAAGGAAGTATACTATGAACGAGAAAAAAAGTAAATATGATAGATGAGAGAAGAGGCCAAGGGAAGGACCACGTCGTATTAATGAGGAGAATAAGGCAAGTCTGATCATGGGCGAGCCAGGGTTGCTTACCAAGGAGGAAAAGGCATGAATGATGAAGGTGATGAAGGACATGCATACTGCCTATGCTTTCAATGACGATCAATGAGGGCGCCTTGATGTTGACAAAATTCCAACGATTCGGATTCATATTGTGCCAGATCAGTCGTGGAATATGAGAGGGGCTAGATACCTAAATCTAGAAGATGAGAGAAAGGTGGCGGACTACCTTAATGGAAAAATCCAGTCTCTTGTTGCTGACTATTCTAGTGGGCTGTACGCATCGCCGTGGTTCTGTTTCATTAAGCCAAATGGAACCCTGGGATGGGTACAAGTTTTGCAAAGGTTGAACATAGTAACGACAAGAGATGTAGGAGGTCTGCCTAATGCAGACGCACTTTTGGAATCGTGTGCGGGTAGGCCAATAATCTCGCTTATAGACCTATACTCCGGATATGAACAATTTCTAGTATACCCGCCAGACCGGCCCATGACTACTATCCATACACCTCGGGAGGCTCGAGGGTTAGTTCACATGAATGTTGCCCCCTAGGGATGGACCAACGCAGTTGCCATGGTGAGAGTCACATGGTACGTGCAATGCAGACAGTCAGTCCTCACATTACTCAGCCATATATTGATGATTTGGCTGTGAAAAAGGCAAAAGAAAAAGACGAAACAAAGATAATGCCTGGCGTAAGGAAGTTCGTCTGGGACCACATTCAAGATATTTGTAAAGTCCTAGACTTATTGGGGGAGCATAATCTAAACGCTAGCAGACCAAAGTCTAAGCACTACATGCAAAAGGCTACGATTTTGGGATTTGTTTATGACGAAAGAGGGCGCCGCCCGAATGCCAGGAAAACAAATAAGATCCTTAAGTGACCAACTCCTTTTGGAACGATCACTGAAGTGAGAGGTTTTCTAGGCATGGCGGGTTTTGGAGAACCTTCATCAAAGGTTTTGCGGCAAAAACAGAGCAATTACAAAAACTCATTCAGGATCAAGTATGGGAGTGGGGAGAGGAGCAAGAAACAGTAATGAAATCATTGAAGGGTGAGTTTGAGGATGGAGGCTTGGTATTGGGGGTTCCTGACTACACTGCCAATATGACCCGACCATTTATTATAGAGACAAATGCTGGTCATACTACTCTGGGAGGAGTACTTATTTAGAAAGATGATAAGGGAGAAAGAGACCACAACGACTTGAGAGTCGCACGCGTAACACTACGGAAAGACACTCTTCGCAATTCAAGCATGAGACGTTAGCAGTCCTTCACCACTTGCGCATCTTCAGGAACTATCTTTTCGGAGTAGGTTTCTGTCGAAAGTGGATTCGGCTGCTCTTGCAAGCTCCATTAAAAATTACACACCTTCCAACCCAACCATTGCCAGATGGCTTACATATATTTGGACGTTCGACTTCGAATTGGAGCGTATACTCGGAAACAAGAAATGTCACTCGCATGAGGGCTCACCGCCAATAGATGGCTTCTTGGATAAAAAGAAGGATGTGGTACTCCATATCAATGCATGGCCTGCTACTGTGAAGCAGTTAGTAGCTCAAAATCAACACCTATGGATTACACCTCAAGAGTACGAACGAAAGCAGTCATTGTTCTCAAACCGTTCGTAGAAGAGGACCCCTAGGGTGAGCAGTGAGTTAACTGAATGATGGAGCTAGCTCTCACAACCACTCGAGCATTGTGCGAGGAACCATCTACGATTGAAGATGGGCCGCTCCAAGTAGAAAGGCACGGGAGACTGATCGGAGGGATGTATGTTCTAGCAAATACTCTAGTCCAAGTGGAGGCCTCAAGGATAGACGCTCTGGAGCGTGGTAAAGACAAAAAAAAAGGATCAAGAGGAGGATTATGAATTTGAAGGAGGGGAAATAAAAGAGGCCTTCCGTGAGGACGAGTAAGAAGGGATATATTGTCACAGAACTATTTCGAGTTGGGGTTGCTTCTTTCATGTGAGATAAGGGAAAGAGAGGCAAGTCAAAAGACTCTCAAAATGCGTTCGCGCTTCCTAGTAAGGGATGGCCATTTATTAATGCAAGAAGGGGAGGTGAACCCAGGAGGGTAATCTGTGGTCGTTACAGACAGATTGACGTCGTAGCTGCGCTACCTGATGAGAGTGTTGGCGGTCACAGGAGTAAAAATATAAGATTGGCGAACTGAAGGAGGAGGAGGAAGGTGGAGAGAGAAGGGGGAATTGTCATTGGTCTTACTGGTGCACATCTTCTTCTTCTTCTTCTTCTTCTTCTTCTTCTTCTTTTTCTCTCCTCTGGTCTCTATCTCTTTGCAAGTGCTTTCATTTCTTTCGCAATTGGGTGGCATTGCCTTTCATTGTGAATTTGCACTTTGGGAATGACCAGGATCGTTACAATGAGCTCTACTTTTGGGAAGGGATGAGAGAAAAGATTCGCATGTATTGTGAGTCCTATGTACAATGTCAAGAGAGATCATCTATCAGGTACAAAGAACCACACTTCATCCAAGATATGTACGAGAGGTTGGGGATGTGATTCATTTAGATTTGTTAATAATGCCACCAGGAGTAGAGGGTATAACTATATCTTCGATGCGCGGGACAATCTCACAGGTCTTGTGGATGGCAAGGCCATATGCACGAAGACTGGGGAAACATTGGCACAATGTATCGAAGAATATTACCTCCGATACCCGTTTGTGGTGAAATTCGTAATGGACAGAGGATCAAAGTTTACTTGTGTTGAAGTAATCACGCTTACGAAAGAGTACGGGGTAACTACGAGATATACGACCGCACCACATCCCCAAGTGAATGCACCAGTGGAAAGAGGGCACGGTACGCTTACGAACGTTCTTGCCAAGTGGACAGATGGTAGACCCAATCAATGGCCCAAGTATCTAAGGGCAGCCTTCTTCGTGGAGAATGTAACTGTCAAAAGGACCACGAGGTATGCGCCAACGGCACTGTGGTATGGAAGGCATGCGACATTCCCAATCGAAAGCTTCCTGAAAACGTGGAGACAATAGGACCTAGAGACTACTTTATCATAGAGGATCTGCTCGACCTGCGTGCACGCTAGATCGAGGCCATAAAAGAAAGGATCAGAAATGCAGTTAATAGTTCAGCAAATAGCCGCACTGCAGATAAGTTTAGGTGGGACCGAATGACGCGCATATGAAGAGAGCCACTAAAGGTTGGAGATGTTGTATTGCTATACGACTCCTTGCTAGAAAAACAGTGATCCAGAAAGCTTGATAAGAAAGGGCTTGGACCATATAGGATTGCGCGCTGTGGTGACTACGGGGCTTATCAGATTGAAGAATTGAATGGGAAGATATGGGGGGACTGGGTGTCAAGAACTAAACTGAACAAGTTCGTGACACGAGAAGGGGTAAGCACACATATATAAGATAGAATGAGGATAAGATTTAGTTAGTAGAGTCTAATTCAGTTAAAGAAAGAAACTCGGTAAAGTTACTAATAGGAGGTATGCAAATGGATTATCTGATATGGTCAATAGTCTAGATGTGGATGCTATCTAGAGATTTTGGTTACTCCATACTGACCACCTTGTGTGCCGTCGTTTTCTTTCGCTTGTTCTGCAGGACAAACTTTACGAAGACAGCCATGTCGAAGGGCGAGAGGGACAAACAAACACGGGAGGAACCTCAGGGAGGTTCAAGGGGTGGAGAGCCATTACGACCATATCAGCGGGCTAGCACTCCAATCTATGACTGGTAATCCTGATATGTTTATCGAGCAGTTCACTCAGTACGGGGCGGATAGGGGGTGGTCTGCAGGGGCGATGATCCATCACCTGAGAGGAACATGGGAGATGAGGACAAGGATTGAGGAGTTGAGGATGAGAGGAGGCGGCTAGCCAGAGATAGAGGTGGGCCTACGGATGTTGCAACCATCACTAGTGGGACATGATGGGTTACCCATCTGGATGATTGCAGACAACTTGAAGGACTTTTTCCCAGCCTATGAAGAGCATTTTAGAAATGTGGGCATCATCAGGGAGGAATACACAAGGATGGTCTAGCACTGGGCGACACCTGGGTTACGAAGGGACGTCGCGCAAATAGGGCACATGACCCAAGATTGGGAAGACTGGTTCTCGCCGACGCAGAGAGGTCATTGATCTGGGAGACGATAGTCCACCTTAGTCACCCATTCCTGAGACAGGGCACGAGGCGGAACCAGAGGTGGGAGTTGATCCTAAGCCAGAGCTCGAAGTGAGGCCCGTATTGGAGACTGTCCTGACCTGCAAAAAGCAATAGATAGTGGGATAGTGGTGCTTGACAATAGGAAATACGTCAAGTAGGCTGATGACAAAGGAGACGTATCTATGTTTCCTTCGATGAAGGAAAATGTGGACGCAAGACGGATGAAGACACAAAGAGGCAAGGAGGCAGTCAAGAGCCAGAGTGTCAGAGTGGTACTTAGCTTGGACAAGGAGAGCTCGAGGACTCTTATCGGGTCGCGGCTACGAGGTCACGAGGGTCTTCCTCTAAGAAGCTAGACATATGGTCATGGTGGATAAACAAGGAGGAAAGGTGGATGGGGAAGAGGTAGTACTTCCCCGAGGAAGAGAGGACCAAAGAAGTTTGTAATGAGGAGCACATTGGATGGCATCGACACAGTGGAGCTTCTGAGGAGAGCATTGAGACAACCGATGCAATGCACTCTGATGGAATATCTGGCGGCATCAAGAGCAGAGTGGGGCAAGCTTCAGGCAATGACTAGGAAGACTCGCATACCGCTGAGAGATGAGATACTCGGAGGGTCGGCTACTGAGCCATTAGTGGTAGCCGTATCTAGCGTGAAAACCGAGGAGTCCATTCTTAAAGAAGATAGAACGGTGACGGTTTACCTAGATGGGAGAGAGGGAGTTGCCCACGAAAAGTTCTACATCCTAGGAAGTGGTGTCCTTGATACGATACTTAACGACCACGTGACTCTGCAGGGAGTAATAAATAACGGTTGCGAAGCGATCATTATTGACGAGGAGCTTGCAAAACAGCTCAAGTTCGACTTGGACCGATCCTACAAGTTCGAGATAGAGACAGCGGACAAGAAGAGACAAGAGGTAGTAGGGGTATGTCACGAAGCGATCATTGAAGTATGCGGCATCAAAGTCACGATGCCCCTATTTGCAGTCAAGGATTGCAGCGGGGAGATTTTACTAGGACGTACCTGGCTCATCTACGCCCATGCTGTCATTGTCGAGCGGCCAAACGCCAGTCTGATGCTTTCTATCAAACGTCAAGACCGGGCGCGCATTATGCTAGAGACGGTGCAACCCCGAGATCCGAGGAATAGGGCGGCACTCGCCATCACACACAAACAAGAGATCGTACGCTCTGTCGCCGACCGATGAGTACAATTCAGAGAGAAGAGATCGAGGTTGAGGTTTACTGAGGAAGAGAGCAGAATCGTGGAAATGGAGGACTTGGGAGACTGGTTTGTAGTTGATGGGGGGTCCTATCCAAAGGACAAGGATGAGGAGATCGAAGGAGTCATCTTTGTCTTTTTTTAAAGGGCAAGCCCCCGTATGGGGGCCGACCTAAACGACACAAGCAAATAGCAGAAAGTGTCAAACCGGCAGCGGTGGGGTGCGAGTGACCAATACATGAAGGAATATCTGAAGAAGAGATCACAAAGGAGATAAAAGAGAAGAAAAGAAACACGCCGCAGCAACTGACAGACGAAAGGATAGCACAGATGGATATAGGATATGAAATATTAACTCCGCACGAACGCGAGAGAGTAATTGAGGTGCTGAAGTCTTTTGACAAGGCTATAGCCTGCGTAGCACACCGAGCGTGTTCAGAAGTTTTCCGAACGTCCGAACACGTTCGGCCGTTCGCCCGAACGGGAAGCGAACGCGTTCGCATGAACGACTTTTGGAGGCCTGCGAACGCATTCGCCCAGCAGGCGTTACCGACCCTCCGAGGGTCTGGGGGGGTCCTTGGGGCCGTAGGGGGGGTGTTTGGGGGGCGGGGTTGGGGGGGGGGCCTGGCGGGAAGGGGCAGCCGGGTCCCCCGTTCGAATTCGAACGAACAATCGGGCTGCCCGCCGCTCGTCCCCTCGCAGCGTTCTCCAACGGAGCATCGAACCCCTGGGTAGGTGTGCCTCCTCCTCCTCCTCCTTGTCGTCCTCCTCCACCTCCTCCTCCTCCTCCTCCTCCTCCTCCGCCATATTTTCTTCTTCTTCTTCTTCTTCTTCCTCTTTTTTTTCGTTTTTTCAACTTTTTTCCTCTTTCTTTTCTAACTTTTCTAAGTTTCTTCAACTTTCTTATTCTTCGAATCTTCTTTTTCTTCTTCTCCTGCTTCTTCTTCGTCTTCTACTTCTTCTTCTTCTACCTCTTCTTCTTCTTCTTCTTCTTCTTCGTCGTCGTCGTCGTCGCCGGAGACATCAAGACTCAGTCGAATCGATTCATTAATTGAATCGATCGATTGATTGATTGATTGATTGATTGGTTGATTGGTTGATTGATTGATTGATTGATCGATTCAACGAATCGAATCAACATCAAGACTCGATTCAATCAAAGAATCAAATCGATTCATTAATTGAATTGATTGATTGATTGATTGATTGATTGGTTGATTGATTGATTGGTTGATTGATTGATTGGTTGATTGATTGATTGATTGATTGATTGATTGATTGAAGAAAAAAAAAACAGGCAAAAAAAAGCCAAACTCATCACCCTCGTCGTCCTCCTCCTCTTCTTCTTCTTTGACGCCGTCGTCGTCGTCGTCGTCGTCGCCCAACCCTCCTCCTCCTCCTCCTCCCTATCTGGATCCCGACTTCCCCCGTCGTCGCCCTCCCCTCCTCCTCCTCTTCTTCTTCCTCTTCCTCTTCTTCTTCTTCTTCTTCCTCTTCTTCTTCT